GCACATGTCACTTAACCTACTCCATCTACATCAGCTTACGGAGGAAGCACTACTCCACTGCATGACAGTCTGCCATTAAAGGATTGTCATTCTCTACCTCACCATTATCTTCTGGTTTTCCTATTTATATGATTGTATAGCAAAACATAGAAATTAATGAAAATGAACCACTGAAAGCTTCTTCATATATTCTTCTGTTCTTCTCCTTCGCTAACTTCTGTTGTGCAGGTTTCTTACAGATGCATGTCATTGATGCGCATTGTGGCTCTTATAAGCTAAGATGTTAAAATCTTTATTTCTATCATTATAAATATTCTTGCACGTAATATTATTAATAGTCGGGTCGGGTCAACCCGACAACCCGCCGGGTCGGGTCCGGTTCAAATTTCCGACCCGTTTGTTTACCCGGGTCGGGTTAGAGTCGACCCGTTTGAACCCGGGTCAGTTCCGAGTTCGACCCGAACCCGACCCGTGACCCGAAATTTACACCCCTACTCCCAAGGAAAAAGAATTATCGACATAATCATCTTACAACTTCTGATGAATCATAGATAAATTCCTCAGTAACTCTCGAAGAAATTAAACTTAAAAACTATGTACTGCTTAACTATAACATCAATTTCCTACCCTTATTTATGTTACAAATTAGAGGCAAATGAAGGAGAATGTTAACTAATAAAGTCCCCACACTTGCAAGATATACTAATTGTCTCCAAAATAGTAGATTAAGGCTTTCTAAGCAAACTTTGTCCACTGAAGCCCACATAATAAGAACGGAGTTGTCCAAGCGGTTGCGCTGAGGATGATTAAGACAGAAAACAGCTAAAACACCTTAGTTATCAGTTCTAATATCAGAAATATTCCATAAACACGTAAGAAAGAAGTGTCAGTAAATTCCAGATACAGGATGATGAAGACAGAGCCTTCAACAGGATAGTGAAGCATACGAGTCTTTTCGAGCTCAGCTTGTCAGTCAAAAAGCGAGCTCGAGCTCAACTCATGTGCTCGATAAGCTCTACTCTCGAGCCCATAAACGAGTCGAGCTCGAGCGCCTGCTTAATAGCAAAAAGCTGTTGTATAAAGCTGTAAAAAAACTGTCCCACACTATGCCTTAAAAATCATAAAACTCAGTTGCATATGACAGAACATTAGACGATGAACTTGACTAAAAAAAGTTGTTTTAGAGAATAAACTTTCTTAAACATAGTTATAAAATTGTTAGCCACATACCAACATCATTATGGTAGTAAAAAGAATAAATAAAAGCACATAGAACGCCAGTCCTGCACTGCATGCCAACTCATTACTCATATATAGCTTTACAGAACGCCAATGGATCAATAGAAAGACTTGATATTGCACACTGATGAGAAAACGATGCACCACAATTGATTAGCGATATAGACTTCCACACTCTTAATGTAGCGAATCGGCGGAAGAATTAGACATACAAGAAAGAACATCTAAGTTGGGGAATAAACTAAGCTCCAAGGCTTCAAAAGAGTATATAATTCATCAAGCTCTTTCCTACTGCAATATATATATTTATAAGCTAGCAAGAACATTCTAGAAGGCATGTAACAAATATATAACAACCTTAGACAAGCTATTCCTGATGGCTTATTTAGCTAATGATGCACCGTATCAACTCTTCTGAAGCCCAGTTTAATCTGTTAGTTCTCGGTTTAGAATATCAATCAAAATAACTTAAATTTACAATTGATCGTGTCACAAAATAAGGAATCATATATTTGTTGAATTATTGAGTTAGAATTGTTATGTTCTGAAAAGTTCGCATTGGTAGAGAGAGATAGTTTAGCATCTTAGTTTTGCATGGAGATCCAACAAACAAACATATAAGCGAGTAGGGTGTGACATTCATAAGAGGCACCAAGATTTTTATGTGGAAAATCACAAAAGGGGAAAACCACAAGGCTGACTCAGTTTGAGTAAATCCACTAGCATTGATAATTGAGTACAAATGAGACATTTCCATAGGAGAAGGCTAAATGTAGCAAATGTAGATCATGATGGGCATATTACATGCTTGGAGTTAGAAGAATCCAATGACATGAGAGTTGTTCTCAAGAGAATGTTGACATATTTATTTAGCCAGTAGGACTATATTTGAGTGATTGAGGTCAAAAAGACTATCGGCGACAGGAGACAGTGGTCAGAGAGGATCTTAGTTGGTAGGTGACAGTAGTAGGAGGGATGGTAGTATGGTAGTCGGCAAGTGATGGTAGTTGATGGTGACACTACAGGAAAACAGTTCATTTCTGACAAAATTTCCGGCGGAAATAAATTCGTCACAAATTCCGACGTTTAACAAATTTTGTTTTTTGGGATAGATGGCAGATGGCGCGGATGCTAGCCGCGCAAAGGGGGCGCAGTTCGAACCCCGCCGAAATCATTCAGCGCCGGCGGGCTCACTGCGCGAATGCTAGGCGGGCGGAATTGGGTGCAGCGGACGGGAGCTGGCTTTGAATATTTTTTTTTAAAAAAATTTCTTTACTTTCCGGCGGAAAATAAATCCGCTGTCAATATTTTCCTACGAAAAATTCGTCGGAAATGAGCCTGAAATATTTCGACGTATTATTTTACGCCGGAAGGCCTTTTACGGCGCGCGTCAAACCAGCGCAAATATTTCCGCCGGAAATGCTAATTTCCGACGGAGATTTTCCAATTTTCCGGCGAAAATGTCTGCCGGAAAATGATTTTTTTCCTGTAGTGCAATGATAGTTAGAATGGGTCGTTGTCGGCGGGCGACGGTCATAGCAGTTGAATGTAGTCATCGGGTGATAGTGGTTTAAAAGATCATAGTCGTAGGGTGGCAATAGTCAGAGTGGACCGTAGTCGGTGGGCAATGCCGTGACAACAGTCAGAGTGAACCGTAATCGATGTGCAACTGTGGTTGGAGTGGACTGTAATCAGCATCGTGCAATTGTACGTGGTTGGAGTGGATTATAGTTGGTAGGTGACAGTGGTCGGAGTGGACCATAGACAAGTGACGATGGTCAGAGGGACTATAGTCGGGCAACAATCAATGGCTGGACGGAAGTCCGGCGAAGGTCAATGGTCGGACAAAAGTCCGGAGAAATACTAGCAATGGTCGATGGACACGGGTGGTCGATGAGGAATCTGGTGGAAAGAGAACTCTTAAATTTATTTTCCTCTCTCATCTTCTTTCTCTTACTTCCTCCCCCTTTTCAGTGAAGAATGATGGATCAATTTATAGTTTTCTAAAAGTGGCATGGCATGTAAATAGGAAGAAGATCAAGTGAATGTTGGAAGTGTTTCAAATGGACGGCCGATATCAAATTTGCATCGAGATTCACACCCAACTAAGATATTTTTTTGATAACATATCAAGAATACATTTTGTTCTTCACTCCAATTTATGTTGGTCAAATGAATCAGCTTTGTTTCCCTTTTATTAACCCTATCTAGGCCGAAGGTAAGATTAACATGATTCGAATGTGTGGATAGGGGAATGATTATTGTGCAACTGATGCAAAAAAAGAGCAAATAGGAGCAATTGAATGTCCCCATACTTTATTCCAGCCTCCACACAGTTACATTAAGGATGTCCATGACTGGTCATCGTACTAGAAAAATACAGGAATATTATTAATCTATTTTATTTTAAACCTATATTTATAGTAAACGTAATTTGAAGCAATAGATAACTTAGGGCAATTTTTTATATAGATAATTATTAAACTATTATGATAGACAGCTTTTTGAAAGCTACAGTAAAAATTAGCTTTCTAACACAGTTTATTGAAAGCAATGAAAAAATTATGATCAAATAAAAATTATGATTATATAATATGAAAAATAAAACAGTAAGAAAACTATCCTAGATAAAACAAATAAATTAATCTTCCTTAAATATGTCCTAAAAGTATATGATTTATTTCTATCATATTAGCTTTAGTTGTAGAAGCAGATTTCAATAGATTGCTCAGAAAGCTATCTCAAATGAAGTCACAATCTGCACTAAAAAATTTTTAGGTGCGGAGTTCGCACCGTCAGCACAAGCACTGGGTGCCTAGTGGGACCCAGCGGTACCGAGTGCGGGTATCACTAGGTACCTAATACTTGTGCGGACGGTACTCCGCACCTAATAATCTCTCCAATCTGCTAGGCTCCAAGTACCCAAATGACTTAGCTGTACGATTATTGGGCTTTGCGATAATACATGATCAATTTCATTGCCCCGAACTCCCATTTTTTGCTCAATCGAAAATTTGTTGTAACTCAAAATAAGAAAATTGGATCAGAATGATGAACACATGGATCAAGACCTAAGCTTTTAAGCATCTAATGATGCATGTACGTGGCCCAATTTTAGCATCCTCTCACCTGAACTGCCAAAACCTCTTGTGGATAACAAAACTACATTTCGTTAGCTGTCAATTAAGACAATTAGCTGTGTAAAACAGATATATTAATTAAATGGGTAGATATTAGCTTTGAAATTATCATGTAATAGAATAATAGATACCCACCTAATTTAATTAATGTACTATTCAATAGCCAACATGAGAATGCACACCCATCATACCATAATCATCATCACCTGGAAAAGTTATTATATGCAGAGTCCGGACACGAATAATCGCTCGGATATGTGAGTGTACATACTGTATACAAATTTGTACATATAGTATATCAAATTTTTATACACACTGTGTGCACTTACTGTCCGAACGATTCTTTCCGTCTGAACTCCACAGAGAATAATTTCTCCATCACCTAACATGTCTTTTATGTTGGAAGGAGCATTTCTAGAAGAAGCCTTCTCTAAATGATAACCCAACTTATTTAATAATTAAAATACAATTCATGACCTGAATATGGTTTCCTGTTATAGTTTAATTAAACGCATATAAATTATAAATAAAATTGTGAAGAATATTAAATAAATTATTGATTTTCTTTTAATCTAAGTTAATATACTAATCACATTTTCCTCTATGGAAGCAGCTCGCAGTTAGTAATCACCCGAGGAATTGGGTGACTAATTCATACTTTAATCTCAAACCAAACATCTCATTCAAAACATTATTAATAGAGATGCAGAAACATCTGAACTGAAATGGAATCAGGGAAGTTCCTTAGATCCCATTGTGCTAGAGAATCTGTTTTGACAACTTAGATTATAACAATTGAACTGACTCAGTACGATGATCACCAGCTGAAGCAGCTCGCCGCCGGCAACTCTGTTGCCGGAGCTGACCACACAGACGCCGAAAGAAGTCGACAATTCTTCCAGCATAGGACGAGCTTATTAGGTCCTTCCTCATCCACTTTGTACCCGTCATTAAAAAGTCCAAGCAGAAGGCGAGATTGACAGAGGTTGGAAAAGCTGAGCCCAATCCTTTGAAATCCAGCTTCTTTCAGCCATTCTGCCCAGCCTTCTCTCTCCTCTCCGCTCTCCTCCCGCCTCCGGTAAGCCCTACCCACTGATCCGGCGATCATCGGCCCTAGTATCAACTTCTCAACCACTCCCCTCGCCTTCCCCTGCATCGGAAACCCTGCTTCAAGAGAGTCCCACATCGCCGAGTACCTCTTCATCTCCTCCATAAAGGACCCCACAAAACCCCCGCTGCCATCACTGCCACCGAAAACGACGGCCTCCTCCACTACAGTCACAATACGGGCCCCGAGCTCGCCGGCGCATCCGAGGAAGGAGGCGATGGAGGCGGCGGAGCGCCATGGAAGATGCGGCGGGTGGAGAGCGCAGTTGAGCACCACCGCTTCCCCTTTCACCACCTTGACCGCTGCCGGCCGTAACTGATCGTCGGCGTCCAGTCTGCACTGCCCGAAGGAGAAGGACAGCCCAACCGACGCTGCGAAGGCCGCCAGCCTCCTTCCGGTATCTAGAACCGTGGTTCCCGAACGTCGGCTGCCGCCCAAGCGCGTGACAGCAGTGATTCGGAGGTGCGGCGGAGGTGTGAGCGAAGGAGTTTCCTGCTGAGAAACCATAGCCTGCATCAACGAGGCCCACTGCACTCCTTCCATGATGTCGTAATCAACGATGTGAACGCGGCGCTCGCCGACGACGGACTCGAGGATGGCCTGGTTGGCCGTGAAATGCCCGAATTTGACGTAGGGAGACATGTCCTGAAGCAACTGGAAGGCCTCGAGCACTTCGCCGGAGTTCGGCGGCTGATCTTCGTGCCTGCCAACTCCGTCGAGCAGGCGTTGGAGCGCGTCGGTGAAATGCTCCGCGAGGCGTTCCATGTTGGTTGCTCCACCTTCGGCGAGCAACTCTCTGAGCCGAGCCAATATCACTCGAGCCAAATCACTGCTTTTATTGGCTCCGGTTAGGGCCTCCGCCGCCGCCATCAGAAGGTGGACGAGGCGGAGGCCCCTGTCGTTATCTCTTTCGATTTCCATCGGCGGCGGGAGTTGCTGCTGAAACTCTTCCACCGGCGTGCCGGGGCAGTTGGTACTGGTGGGGCTGACGTTCGTTGACCAGTCCTGGGCTGCCGGCGTGCATGGGAGGCCGTAGTGCTCGAGAAGGCCGTTGAAGTCGTTCTCCACGGAAAAATGACCCCAGTCTACCGCCGGCGACCAGTCTACCCATGCGAGGTCGCCGAACCCCGTGGTGGAACTAGTTGAGCTACAGCCGGAGAAGGCGAGCTCCATCATATACTCCATGTCTACTACTTCCATCTCTGTTTTTCTCTGCATCAAAGTTTGCCCTTCTTTGGCATATATATATACACACATCATATATAAATATTATATATAAAAGAAAGAAGGGGATGTTGGCTGTCGGAGACTCGGAAGAAAGGGTAACAAAGTTTAAAGTTAATTATGATTGTGATTTGGTTAAATGAAGTGTGATTAGGGGGCAAATCATGGATTAAAAATAAACCCTTAATTAAGGTGGAGATAAGGATTTATTGATTTATTATGGAATTATTTATTTTTTGAAAGGGGAGATAGTGATGGGGTTCGAACCTCTAAGCTTATCAGTGATGAAAGCAGCTTGAAAGGGTAAGAGATTGATTAAATTTTGAGGATAAACAACTGGATGAGGATGATTTATATTAGTTAAATTTTTTAATTACTTTTGAATGTTGCAATCAGAAATTATCTCATTATTTTTTTAATATATTTCAAGTAATATATGTTTTGCAGATTTCTCGTTCAGATTAATATCATAATTATCTGATAAATTTTGTATTAATTATCAATTATCTTGCACAATCTTTCTTTTAATGAGAAATTATTAGGTGCGGATACTGGATGGAATGAACTGTCCGGTTTTCTCGCTGTCTATGATAAAAATATAGTCAAAGCATAATTAAAGTGGAGCTCCTACAATAACTTTGCTTTGATTATGTTTTTGCTATAAACAAAGAGAAAATTGTAAGGTTATCTCTCCATAATAATTTGCCTCATGTAACAGACTCTATATAGTGAGATAAAATTTTGATGTTGTTAATTATTGCTGCGGACACAGCTCACCTTGGTTTGTTGATTGAGAGATTATGCTTTCAACTAAGAGGTCTTGGATTCAAATCTTTGTGTGTGTGTTGTGTGTATGAATTTATCTTAAATGATCTAAATGTCCAAAAAAAAAAAATTATTGCTGCGGCTGTTGCTTTGAAATTTGAAGTTTACTTATTTTATGGACGCCAAAGATTGTGAGCTGTTGAGCAATAAAAGAATTACTTTTATGGACATTCTTCCCACATCTAGACAATTCCCGTTTTAGCTATTTTTCCGAGCAAGCAGCTTAGCTATCTTTGGAATTTTTTATATTTTTGTTTTTAATTTTATTTTTAAATATATTTATTCATTATTTTATTTGTTTTCTTAAAAAGAAATTAAATTATTTATTGTAAACACCCAAAATGTTTTTGAATTATGTAGAGTATTTAAATAAAAATTATTACTATCGGCCTCTCCCTGCCATTATCAACTATTGCTATCGCCAACAAATGGAATTTTTATTTGGTCCGGACACCGGATGTAGACCCGGACACCGAACGTAGCTCTACGTTCGGAGTCCAATAAAGTCGCGACACTTGGCATGCCCATGTGGACATTAATTTCTATTTTTTTTATTGCCAACCCGGGCTGACCCGGCCAAAAAATTCCTGTTCAAAATTTTATTATAAGAGTTGTTTTGAAGTAACGTTTGTTGTCAAAGTTTGTAGTACCTAGCAATACCGAACAGTATTTATTAAAAAATATCGGGCAGTACCGAGTGATACCTAACATTTGTACCAAGCAGTACCGAGCAGTACCGAGCGGTACCGAGCAGGAATATTTTGGGCCGGGTCGATCGGGCTAGCAAGAAAAAAACAAAAATAAATAAAAAATTAATATCCACAAGTACAGGACAAGTGTCGGGATTTTATTGGACTCCGTACGTAGAGCTACGTCCAGTGTCCGGACCTAATAAAAATTCAAACAAATGCCACAGTCCTCATTGTTTTGGCAGCAACCACCGTTATAGCTCAAGTCAACTTATTTAATATTTAATAAAAATAAAATTAATATATTTTTAACATATGAAATATATTGTATTTTGTATTAAATATAAAAATAAATTAAATATAAAAATAAAATAATAATAATAATAATAAATAATTACAAATGGTCTTTTAGAGATGACTTGCTTCATTCACCTATTATCTTGAATATATAAATAAGAATTAGAGGACTCATACATAGCCTTCACATTTTAGGTAAAATGCTAAATATCAGGTTGATGGTAAAATTTTTTTGGTACATTTCGACCAATTAAAATAAACTCACATACACAGCACATACGTAAGACTCAAACTCAAGACCTCTTGATTGATAGCCAAAACTACGTTATTACTGTGAGAGAGATTAAGATTTTATTAAAGAGATTTAGGCTTCGTTTGGGATTAAAATTTTTTATTTTGATACTAAAACTCCGTTTTAGAAAGCAATCAAAACAAAACTACGTTATTACTGTGAGAGAGATTAAGATTTTATTAAAGAGATTTAGGCTTCGTTTGGGACGGCTTTTTTACTGCTTTCTAAAACAGAGTTTTAGTACAAAATTTTTTATTTTGGTACTAAAACTCCGTTTTAGAAAGCAATCAAAAAGCCGTCCCAAACGAAGCCTTAGTCAATTACATAGTTCATGCAAGTAATTGTTATTATAAAAATAAAACCACCAAAATCTCAAGAAAAAAAAATTTTGTGTCAATCAGAACTTCAAAGTCATAATGTATTTTGTATTAAGAGATTCTGACATAAATTTCTTTAATCTCACAAGCCCCAAGTCATCACTCAACCTAGCCAATATTAAATGTTCAACTAGGTGATAAAGAAATAACAATAGATTCATCAAAAAAAAATTTAGACATCAATCTCAATGCCCCTCAACTTCATGAAAAAATTAAGAACAATGACCTTTTTGTGACATAAGGTTCATAAAGTTTTATTTCATATATTTTATAAAGAGGTGCAAGGTCAAAACTCAATATCAAGAATTTAAGAAAAATCATTGAATTTATAATAATGTGCGTGTTTCATGAGTTGAATATTTTAGAAGCAGCATCTTTGTTATCTAGTATTAATCTAACTTTCATCGAAAATGTCCTGTATATTAGCAAATCACTCAACTCATTCAAGTCGTACGTGCATGCTTCCTTCGCACGTGAAACTTCTCATCTTTCTTCTAACACTAGGCGAATATGAATTCAAGAAGCCCTTTATGTTTTCCGTAAAACCCATAACAACCTTTTTCTCTCAAAAATTCTCTATCAAGTTGTTCAATTCAAGTTAAAAGCTCAACAATTTGAAACATACAGAGGTATTATTGATCCCTCTATTATTTGGGCACCTTTGAGCTTGCCATTTCTTTTAGGTGACATCAAGTTTCATCTAGTTGCTTCTATATTGAAAGATATTGCTCAAAGATGATTCAGCTCAGCTTCCTATCAATATCATCAAAATCTTTTAGAGATTTTTTACACAAATTTTGTTGCCTCCTCTCATTCAATTATATTAAACTTCTCAACATAGAAATGAGCTTTCAGGAATAGTATCTTAGATAAAAAAAATATATTGCAAAGCACTAAGAAATCCACTTGCCTCCGTTCATTCAGTCATGTACAACAATTCAACATCAAATGATTTTGATATTACTAAATTGACTCTTTCTTTTTATCCATAATAAAAATGTAAAGCTTAACAATAATTATTAATGCTTAACACTTTTTTTTTTCGATTAGCCCAATTTTAAAACTTTCTCGATGCACCATTTTTTTGATTTGGAAGATGCTCTTCGGCACAATTACATATGCCATAAATGTTCTGCTCTCAGATTTTCTTCTTTTGCTTGGCTGGCAATTTGTGATGGGTTAAAAACGGCTAATACGTTAGCTAAAAGGAATATTCAAGTTAATAGAACTTGCTCTCTTTGCCGTAATGAGGATGAAAGTGTTAAGCATTTAATGTTTCAATGTGATTTTTCTTTCTCTGATGTTTTCTTTTCTACTGATGTTTTTGGATGGATTTTTTCTTAGTCTGACTTTGCTGCAACTGTTTGAATTTATTGGTGATCTAAAACACTTTAATTCTCTTGATAAGAACTTCTATTTCCTTGCAATTTGTTATTTTGTATACTTCCTTTGGAGTGAACGTAATGATAAGCGTTTTGAGAATTCTGAAGCTGCTCTTCATCTCATCCGCATCAAAATCTTCAATACTCTTTATGTGAAGGTTTCTAAATGGAAAAATTCTGAAGCAATTCACCTTGCCTTCCCCTCGTGCTTCAGGTCATTTTTGAGACAATAATGTGTGGATCCGACCTCTCTATTGGGATCTCCCCTTGGATGGCCTAGCCTCCTCGTACCTCCAGATCTTTCTTTCTGCATTTGACCTTACTATTTTTGGGCACCCTACAAAATTTTTCATGGACTGATCCGTTGGGACCAGGGCTTTCCATTTTTTGTGGCTTTCTGCGCGGGACTACTAGATGAATCTTCTATGAGTTTGTTCTAGTCAGGATTGGTCGATTCCATTTTTTACTCAGTCATCTTTTTTTTTTTTTTTTTTTTTTTTTTTTTTTTTTTTTTTGAATTTTTTTGTCTGTTTTTTCTACGGATTTTTTATTTGTTTTGATTTATTTTTGTTACAGATCTCTTTTATATTTATATGTAAATTGGTTGTAATTTCTTTTAGGCTTTTTTTCTTCCATTTTACTGTTATGAGCTATGCTCTTATTTTCCAAAAAAAAAAAAACCTTTTTTCCATATCCATATCAATTTTATGTGATTTTAATTGTCCTTTTGGCATTTGTACGGTATTGCATCACTCAAATATGTAATTGAGTTTGAATTGATCAGCCAACCAGGTCATTGGATTGTTGGTCAACCGTTGACTTTTTCTTCCCTCATTAGTTTGCTTCACACACCGCTTACGGAGTCAAGACACTAAACGGCAATTGACATATGCATAACACCGTTCGTACAGCCGATTGTGGCTTTCTTTTATAAATTTTTAATAAATCCCGAGCATCCTTCGCTCCTGAAATATTTGATGGCCATGTCAACGGCTGACTTTGATGTAGGCCATGTCGCTGGAAACAATAAAAAGATGACAAGTGGAAGGCCGAGTCAACTTGGGAGCAGTAATATAATATAGGGATTTTTACATACTTAATACTTAAAACTATTCTATTTATTTATCTAAGATCTAAACTTCACTGTTTACTTATCTAACACCAGAAAAAGCTTGCCCTCATCAAAACTAACACTCAGTTACCTCCCATCGTATGCAAACCCCGACCCTATCTTTCTGAAACTTCTGCTTCGCCTTCATTGCCTCGCTTGGTCGACTCATCCATTTGTTCGCCTTCATTACCTTGCTTGGTCGGCTCATCCGAAACTT